GCTCCGCCGCGCTCGGACCGGGCGGGGCCGCAGGGGTCGACACCAGCGCAGCTCAGGGTCGGATTCCAAGACCGCGTTTCCGTGCAGGCGTGGGCTAACCCGCTGTGAGGAACCTGCTTGCTCAGTTCAGGCTTCCTCGACACAGGAAAATGCACCCCTCCTCGCGAGTTATGACAGGTGCATACCACGGTGATGGAGGCTTAGGAGTCTGTAGGACTACACAAGGAAAGATGAGAAAAATTGTAAGACTTAGATGTCAGCGTCAGAAGGACGGAGAGACACTCAGGCGCGTGGGTCTCCGGCCTGCAGAGCCACAGAAACTCCATCAGGGCCCCGCATTTCCCAAATGCACCCGAACACCCACCTAAGGGTTGTAATTCACGTGGAAAAGCAAAGACCCAAGAGGAGTCGAGCAGGTAGACTCCCCCGAAGGAGCTTTATGATGATTTGGTCAGTGGTAATTAAACAGCAGCAGGACCAGTGCGGGACAGAAAGTGGCACATAGTGGACGGCGTCGTCTTCATCGGCCGGGCTGTTGAACGAAGTACCGCGGTCTTGCTATTCCGGCTCTGGGTTCGGTGGCCTGGGGTCAGGGAACCAGCATGGGCTGGTGCTCAGGAGGCCCCGCCTGGGGTGCAGACAGAAAGAGGGTGCAAGAGCTCTTTGAGGTCTGGGTCATCCCGGGAGCTCGTTGCCTCGCAGATGCCCCACCTTGAACACCCTCACACCGGAAGTTGCGGTTTCACCCTATGGATTTGGGGGGATATAAACGTTGTCTGTTGTGGGAGTAAAACTCGGTATTAGATTGTTGTAGACAGGAGCACTAAATGCAGGGTGTGGGAAGCCCCAGGGATGGGCTGCTCCGTAGGCTCAGTTGGACAGGAGTGATCTGCAGGGCAGTGACGGAAGAACCTTCTGGCTGCCTTTTCACAGAAGTAAATGGGAACAACCCAGGGTCGCAGAGTGTGCGCAGGCGCCCAAATGCAGCGGACGGCACCAGGCTGGCCTCCCGAGCGGACAGCAGCGCCTCTGTCGGGCACACACGCCCTCCTCAGAAGCAGGACCCCTGCAGGTGGAGATGACCCACGGAGTAAGGCCCAGGGATTCAGAAAGGGCAGCACAGGGACTCTGTCATTCCTGGCATCTTCTGGGGTTAGGGAAACAAAACAGGATTCCAGGACCCACCACGGGTGTGGACCACAGCCACACCTGCTTTTGGTGGGACACAAGAGGGAATGCACCCCGGAGGACGGGTGAATCAGAGGGAAAGCCAGCCCTCTGTGGCCTGTGGCCCAGCCTTGAGTCATCCGGGTAGCTCCGACCTCAGACTTGGAGAAGCTCAAGTTCTCAGCCTGAACCCGGCATCAGGTGACTCTGATGGCACAGGTACCCGTGTGCCTCACAAAAGCAAATAGAGTCCTCTGGGTGTGGTGACAGCCTCACCCTTAGCCTGCTATGGTTGTACAAATAAAATTCAAATCCCTTTCCAGAATGTAAGCAAAAAATACCAGAAACTCAAGATGATATACCATGGAAAAAGAGACGCGAAGAAATCCAGATACTTGAGTTATCAGCCAGAAACCATAAAATGAATGTGCTTATTATGCTCAAGGGGATAACACTAGGCTCATAAATTCTTTGCAACAACTGGAAACTATAAATTTGACAAAGGAGATTTTTAAAAAGAGCCATCATGGAACTTCTAGAAATGAAAAACACAAAATTCCAAACTCAGAAATCATTGAATGGTTTTAACCACAGTTTAGACCTGGATGAAAAGAGAACCCATGAACTAGAATGTAAGTCAGGAGACACTGCCTACATGGGAAGGGGAAAGAAGGGTGTTTAGAAAAGAACTGCGAAAGGACTTAGTGGTATCTGCGTGCACTTTAAAAAGGAAACTGCTGCTTCTATTTCTTTTAAATACAATAATAAATCTAAGATGTACGAGCGGGGCCAGATTGGTGCCCCATCCAAAGCAAATGCAAGACGCTGGTCCCCAGAGCCCAGCATCGGGGAACGGAGGTGACCGAGATGTGGAGGAGGCGGCCACAGCCTCTTAGTGGCCGCAGTTTCCGGGGTGCAGCAAGGAACCATGCACCAGCCTGAGCCTGGCACAGTGCCAGAAGCTACGAGGAGGATGACAGGAGCTGTCACGGCTCTTGGGACAGAGGTGCCCTGGGACAGGAAGGAAGCCACACAGGTATGGGAAAGACTCCACAGGCTGGAGGTGACTTCCTGGGCACCAGCAGTGTCACCAACGCCCTCTGTGGTGCAGGGGGGCTGTTCCCACAGCGGGGGAAGGACTTGGAGCACATGGGGTGATGCAGACCCCAGTTACAAGTCACAGAAGTAACCAGATGTGGGCAGCTGCACTGAATTCCCAATCAAACTGAAGGTTTGTGGGAAAACAAAGGTACTCAGCAGCCAACAAGGTGAAATTTGCAATGCCTGGCATCTCCTCAAAGAATAATGGACCTGCAGAGAAGTGAAGAAGCAGAGCCGGTCATGGGAAAGTAACTGGGCAGCCAGCACGAGCTCTCAACTGGCTGAGATGCAGGAGTGCATGGTCCACGACAGAGGTGGATGTTTAGCAGCTTCTGTGTACACAGAAGGTTGCCCAGAAGCACGAAAGACAAGAAGACAGAAAATGAGCATGCAGAAATGAGGCTGTGAAGTCCAAAGTGAAAATACGCTGGATAAGCCTAGTGGTGGATTAGGTATTACAGATAAAATTAGTGAATTTAAACATCAGTGAATTTAAAATAGAAACTGTCTTGAGCCTGGTGTGGTGGTTTATGCCTGTGATCTCAGCACTGAGGAGGCTGAGGCAGGAGGATTGCTGTGAGTTTGAGGCCAGCCTGAACTACAGAGCAGGACCCTGTCATCCCCATTAAAAAAAAGTTTAAAAGGAGACAGAAAAAATTAAAATCTGGCAGAATAAGTAGAATGTAAAATACAGTAAAGAGGAGGGGGAAAAAGCAAAAAAAGGAAATAAAAGCCAGAGAAGAAAAGAAAAACAATTAAATGTATATGTTAGTTCCCTATCCAGAGCTGGGACAGACACTTGACTCACAGCCCATGGGAGAAAAGGAGGATTTAGCTCAGGTCCAGGGGCTGTGGTCCGGGAGTAGGAAGCAGAGAGAGGCCCTGGGGCAGATGTGGTCTCCCCATGGTCAAAGCCTGGACTCCATCTCACCAGTCCGGCTCTGCCTCCTGTTCTTTCACCTCCCAGGATGCCACTGACAATGATCTCACAGGTGGACTGGCCTGCTGATGCCGACTGTCTCTGGAGATGCCAACAGACACCCAGGGTATATTATTTCCAAGGCATTTCTCAATCCGATCAATCAATGCACCTTCCACACTAACTGTCACAATCTGCAAAACCCAAAGCCAGTTCTTCCCCTAGGTCACACTGAAGGATGCAGTCCCTCCCACCAGTCCCCACCTCCTGTTTCCACACCTCCTGCGATGCCATCAGATCATGGTCTTGCCCGTGAGATTCTGTCTCTCATATTAAAGAGCAGTCACACGAATAACCTTACTTACTATGTCCCGGGCCAAAGCACAGAGATGTGGTGTGCGACCATGACAGCACCACAGTGGTGAGGTGTAAGGAAACAGATCAGGTGGCTGCACGACTCATCAGGAGAAACAGAGGCACAGATAGCACACCCGCTTCCTTTCCTCATTCCTGTCTTCAGAGATGCACAATTCCAGAAATCACCAGTTAGAGAAGCGTGTCACTAGGTCTGAAACATCGAGACTGTGTGTGAGGACAGACCTCTGAAGGGATGGACTTCTGATACAGCCTTGTCGCAGCGTGGTGGAAGTCTGCAGTTGATTTGGATAGGTGAACATCTGTATTGTAATAAGCCCTAGCAACCACTAAGAAAATAAAAATTTGAATACTCTGAATGAAATGAAACGACATGCCAGAAAATAGTTAATGCAAAAGAAAGCGGTGAGGAGGAATGAAAGGAGTGGAAAGGTATGCGACACGACCACTCAAAGGCAAGGTGGTGCTGTGCATCCAAGCACTTCGGCAGGAATGCTGAACACGACCGGGTCATCATGTCTGCAGGCAACCACAGAGGCTGTCAGGCCAGATAAACAGGCAGAGTAAAAGAAGACCCTCTGTAGCTCCGAACATCCAAATAGTTGAGCGTAAAGGATGAAAATATCCATACTATGGAAATGGCAACCATAAAAGAGCAGCCCAGCCAGGGTGGATGGTAAAATGGAAATCACTACTGGACATAAAGAGAAACACTAAAGACTGAAGAGGTTGGGCATGGGCTTCTTCTGTTCTCCTGTGACTGCCAGTGGAGACCGGAGCATCCCACAGGGCCAGTGGTGAGGACATTCTACCCTTCAAGGGCTGTCTTTCCACGGCAGGAGACGAGGGTAGGGACAGAAGGGGGCAGAGCTCACACTCACATAGGAAACCCACCCCTGTGAAAGTGGCACGAAACCATCTATGATGTCCCCATCTTTCTGATGGCAGTGTTACCTCTAGGGTCTTCCAGAAAGTTTGAAGAAGTGACATGTGTTTGTCATTTCTGGAGACCTGGTGCTATGTCCCAGCAGCATGGGGTTTGCTAGTGCAGCTCCCTTCCTGTAACTGTATACCCGAGGCTAGATCACATACAAAGACAAACTTATTAATCCCAGCTTTGGAGGCTGGAAGGCCAAGATTGGGCCAGCCCAGTGACCTGGTCTCTGCTGAGGGCCTAGTTGCACATGGCATAGATTGTGTGGTGGGACCACGTGTAGGGGAGAGGCTCAGAGGAGAGCTGGAGAAGGGAGGATCCCGCTCCCAGAGCCTGAGGGCAGCACCCGCACCTCTCAGTGTCACTGCGCGGGGGCCACTCTGGGGCAGCCATGCAGCTGGACCTGCGGTAGACCTTGAGGGCCAGGTGCCTTCTCTGTTCCCAGCCAACACGAACATGAGAGCCTCCAGGGGGGCCCAAGGCAGCAGGACCCTCTGGGTCCCGGAGTAGACTGTGGTGACCGGTCAGGAGGTCCCCGGGGGCAGGGCATCCCCAGAGAGCTGGGGCAGTGGCAGTCGTGACCAGATTCTTCCTGCCATGCAGTGTTGCCAGGTGCTGTGCCACATGGATGATCTGTGTGCCACTCACCCTCCTGTGTGCAGTGTGCACCTGCACTTCATGACACACATGGCGCAGTGTGCATTGTGTGACCTCACAGGGCCAACCCCCCACCCCACCGCCTGCGGGCACCCCACACAGTGCCAGAACGTGACCCACAGCTGGCGAGGGTTCAGGCCTCCAGGGAAAGTCAGGATGGGCGGGAAACTTCCTCCCTCTATGCCAGGAGGAAGTGTGGGCCAGGGCGCAGCAGCAGAGGGGCAAAGCCCCTGCCTGGGTGCCACTGCTGGAGGAAGGTGGACACGCCGATGGGGACACTTGGCCAGGCAGGCCAGAGTCTGGGAGACCCTGGGACCCTGACATCCTCAGCATGTCCTGGGTCACACATGAGGCAGAAGGCCCACAGCTGCACATCGGCATGGGTCCTGGCCGACCATGGCCTAGGAAGCAGGAGCTGTTTCTGCACTACCCAGGAAGGTTGGGCACACACAGGCTTCGCTGAGCCCTGCCTGTCGTACCAGGAGAGCCCACAGCCCTGCAGGACCTTGTGCCCCGGGTGTGGCCCCTCAGTAAGTGCCCTGCACAGGGGGACAGTCCTGTGGAGCTGTTCACAGGAGGATGGGGTGTCGGAGCCACTGCCCTTTCCAGAGGTCCTGGTTCCCAGGGTGGGTGGGGGTTTGAGAACTGCACCCCAACCCGCCTGACCTACAGCTGAGCCAAGGCTGCTCTGGCCACAGGGCTCCTGCTCACCCACAAGGACCCACAGAAATCCCTATGCTGAGGTCCCCTCTGCCCTCAGGGCCACAGCCCAGCTGTCCCGCCCTGCATGCCGTTTCCATCACAGCCAGGCCGGGCCAGGCGCCTCCTCTGCCCGGCTGCTGTCCAGAGGGGAAGACGCCCTCTTCAGGACCCACCCAGCTGACCAGCTGCCTGCCTTTGACCGGGAAAGGGGAGGCGCCGACTGATGGAGCTCATACTCCACAAGGGCCTGATAAACACTCCTCCTTTCCGTCTTTGCCGAAAGTCTGGCAGAGCTTCCGACCACCCGGGACGCAGGTGCAGAGCAGCTTCACAGCAACCCGAGGTCCCAGGGCTGTGGTAGTGGTGGACCCAGGATTGGGGCCTCGGTCCTCAGCTCGCAGCTGGGCCAGCCCGGGCCCCATTTTGCCAGGTCTGGGGGCTGCTCAGGGGACCTGCAGGAAGCCCTGTCCCCACCCCATGGGCTCGAAGCAAGCATCTGCAGGAAAGGCTGGTGGCCTGGCTGGCTGGCTGCTCAGGGAGCAGCGGCAGCCCCGACAAGCCACGCCCGCGTCGGCAGGGTCAGCCAGAGGCCGTGGAGAGGTGCGGCCAGGCCAGCTCCGCAGGCGGCATGCTAGGAATGCGCCAGCATCTGTGTCCTAGCTGGGCAACCACGCCCAGTCCCTCACGCTCTGCGTCCCACGCTGCCCAGACACGGGGTGCTCACGGGAGTGGCCTTCACAGGTGCCTGAACCTGCTGTCATCTTGCCACAGCACCCCACGAGCTCGATCGGACAGTGGAACAGGAAACACCTGGGACTCAGAGCCTGCACGGCTGACAGAAAGCCCGGCCTCATTGGAGATTACCTCAGAGATAGGTTGTGCCTGTCGAGCCCAGAAATACTGTGTGAAGTGAACGTCAGATGACATGTGTGAGGTGTGGGTGACACATACAGGTCATGTATTGAACATGTGTCATATCACAAGATAAAACATGTACATGAAACAAACCAGATACAAAGTAAAGTACTAAGCACTCCGGGTCCCAGGAATTTCGGATGAGGGTGCTCAATCCCATTTCCATGTGAGTGTGTCGGTGAGTGTGTGAGAGAGTCCACGCGCTGCAGCAGTGTGAGATGTATTCGGCCCTGTACAGAGTAGGCAGGTTCTGCAGTCCAGAACTCCACCTCAGACCTGGAGAAATCAGAGATAAAGGTGTACAGGACACTGTACCCACACACATGCTCAGCCATAGAAACTACAACTGCATTCTGCCGTGCCGGAAACAAGTGGAGAAGGGACCGCCAACCACAGCTAGCACACACTGCCACTTGTGAGAAGGTACAGGAAAGACAGCTGTCGCAGCCAACACAGCAGAGGGCAAATGTGATACCTTTGACAGACCTCACAATAACTGAATATGTTTAATGTTATTTAATGCACCACACTATCGAAAAATTGCCGAGAAAACCATCCTCACCTGTGCCGTGCTCTGTCCTCCTCCCGCTCCTCCTCTCCTGCACTGTGCTCTCCTCATCCTCTGCCCCTTTCCTTGGCCCATGTCAGTGCTCATAGGAGGAAGGGAGAAGTCCTTGTTCCCGCTAGCCTAGGCCCCAACTCTCCCAACCTCCTTGCTGTCTGCTTCCCACCTGGCTGCCACAGCCAAGCACAGGAGAGACCTAGAGTGGTGGACTTTGTCCATCACACAGGTGAAGCCAGCATTCCCGGTGCCTCTCCTGGCCCCACACAGAGCTGCACCCCATTTCCTTCCCTCCTATGGGAGTGTGGGAGCCAGGTGGGGCCTCCCCAGTCACGCTGCCCTGTCTCCCACAGCGTTGTCCCTGAACCCCAGCTGTGTGGGCTGCTCTTCCAGCCCTTCCAGCTCCTCTCTGCTCCCTGGACATGTGCGGTGCCCAGGCTGTGAGGCCCCCGGCAACAGAGATGGAGATGGGAGAGGCCGCTTCTTTGCCTGGACCATGTAAAACCTGCTTCTTGTGAAGACTGCAGCCTCATCCTGCATGCTGGGCCATCCTCTGTGAAATTCTTCAGTTCAGGAAAAGAATGGGGTATGAGCTCTGGAACAGGAGTGGAGCTTTCTCTCCGGGGACCACAGGAAGGGTGTCCTCTCCCCGCTGAAGTGTGCAGGACGTGCCCCTCACACCGCCCAGTGATGTCCACACTCATGCCACAGCAAGTCCCCAGGCCTTGTGCTCCTCCCAGCCAGCACTGGTGGGAGCTGTCACCCTCAGGGCTCAGAGGACAGGAGAGCTGGGGGCCAATGGGGGCCGGGGCTCAATGTAACAACTTCACGGTGTATTTAGAGGCCAATAGATGGGTTGAGGAGCAGGTGCCCTGGCTGGTCCTGGGAAAAGGGTGGCAGTAGGAGGATGCCCAGGTGGGACGCACCAGGGAGACCAAGGTACAGAAGGAGGGAGGGGGATGCCCAGGACCGTGTGGACACTGGGTGAAGGCAGTGACATGGGATGTGTGAACACAGTGCTGCTGCTGTGAATTCAGCCCCAGAGATGCCCGGCCAGGCCTGGGTGGCAGGGCAGGTGCAGGGCGGGGCTGAGCAGCAGGGAGGCGGAGAACATGCCATCACAGCTCAGCCTTCTGATGCCTGTGGTCGCATCAGAATACGCTTGCATGGAAGGCACATGCACCAAAGCAAACAATTCTGAGTCGCAGAGGCAAGGAAAATGGAAAATTTGACCCAGGCATCCCTCTGCTGGGCATCTTTCCAAAAGAATGAAAAGCATCATATCACAGTGATATATGGGCACCCATGTTTATAGCAGCACAGTTTGTAATAGCTAAAACTTGGAAACAGCCCAATTGCCGATCAATTGGAGACTGGATAAAGAAGATGTGGTTTTTCTTTAAAATGGAATACTACTCAGCCATAAAGAATGAGAAAGTAGAGTCATTCATAGGAAAATGGATGCATATTGAGGATATACTCAAGTGAAATAAATAAGCCACACATGTAAATACTAAATAGTTTCTCTGGTGTGAAAAACTATAATTATACATAAGATCCTAATGGTATAATTGACAATGTGAAATAGGAAGAAAAGGGCTAAAGGTGTAGGGGAAGTGGAAAGGGAAGGGGAAAGGAAATAAGGGAAAAGAAAAAAATATGAGAAAATGAAAAAATAGAAATAAAGTGTTTGTAAATGGGGAGGAGAGGAACCGGTGAAGGGAGGGCAGGAACAAGGGGCAAAAATGAGAGCCAAGACCTGTCATGTAAAGGTACAAGATCCCAATAATGAATGTAACTGTATACCTAAAATGTACCAATAAACTCAATGAGGAAAAAAATAAGCAAAGAATGCAGCCAAGCACAGTGGCACACACCTATAATCTCAGACTCAGGAGGCTGAGGCAGGAGGGATGTTGCCAGTTCAAGACCAGCTTAAATGACAAAGCAAGTTCAAGGCCAGTGTGGACTACATAGCCAGACTCTATCTCCAAAAACATACTCCCTCAAAAAAAAAAAAGTGAGCAAAGAAAAACACCCAGGTATGCAGGGTGCTGAGATGTCAGGTGAGTGGTTGCTAACCTCTTCCTGGGCCTGGTTTATAAACAGTCTTCCTCACAGGGCCGTGTGCACAGCAGGATGAAGAGGCAGGGTGTGTTGGATGACTTTCAGGCCTCTGTGAGGGGCTGGGGAGGAGGACGAGGCCCAAGCAGCCGTGTGTCCACCTCCCTGCAAAGGCTGGAGGTGCGCTGACCCCAGCAACTCCTGGCCGTGGCTCCAAGGGTGGGGTGGGGCCAAATGATGGGGCCCAGCCTTGGCCTCTCCCTGGGACTGACGCCTGTTGGGCAACCTCCTGCACCCGTGATCCAGGAGCCCAGCAGAGGCCTCCCTTGAGCCAGCCGTGCCCTGGCCGAGATTCCTGGGCCCGCAGCACCACCATCCCTCCCAGCCATGCTGTGCGAACACTGCCCACCACACGCAAACCATTACATCAGAAACATGTCCGTGTGAAATGAATCCACATGGCTGGGCACCTGGCTCCTCCTCGTGAGCCTGCGGAAAGTGAGGGACTCCAGGTGCTGTCATCCATGGGCTGAGGACAGCGAGGGGCTGAGGGACAAGGAGGTCTTTGAGCAGCCTACTCTGAGGCCCTGGAAGCCAGGAGCCTTTGGCAGGGATCCTAGCGTTCTCTCTGTCTCGCTGGCCTCTGAGGTTAGGGAGGAAGGCAGGTGCAAGGTGTCACACGAGAGACACTGGACACTGGGGGCGGAGCACAGCCATGGCCTTGAGGGCCGTGTCTAGGTCACAGTGCTGCATGGGACACCAGATCTTCAGAGCTGTTTCTGGAAGCAGGCACAGTGTGCATTACAGCTGCAGAAATGGATGTTTAGATGTAGAAATGACATGAGGTTCCCAGCCAGGGCCTGGAAATCCCACAAAGGACGAAGGATGAGGCAGGACATATGTAGCAGGATCACATGAGCACAGCACTGCCAACCGGGACGGAAAGGCACAGCGGGGCACAGAGCAGGGTGGAGTTGCTGGATCCTGTAGTTCCCTGGGCAAGCAGTGCAAGGGCCGGAACACAGTTACAGTGCAGAAGTCAGAGGGCAGCTCCTTGGGGGCTCCAAGCCCTATGTCTGCATGGCTTTTCTCAGTTGTCCATCAAACACAGGTGCCAGTGACAGGATTCTGCAGGTGCAACCAAGGTCAGGATGAGCCTGCCCTGAGACGGCACTGGGCAGTGCCACTGCAAAGATGGGGTGGCTCTAGGGGGCAGCAGGAACTAGGCTCTACTGCCGAGGCCTGGAGTCCTGCTGACTGCCTGGCCGAGCTGTGACACAGCCTGCCACACCTTGGTTCCCAGTTGGGGATTGGGGAATGACTTTCTGCAGCTTCAAGCCACACGGTTGTGGGAAGTGAATACAGATTCTGTGACTACAAAGTGGGTGCTGCTGTGGCAGACACCTAAATACATGCAAGTGGCCTTGGAAACACGAGAAGGATGAGTCTCAAGGAGCCCGACAGCAGAAGCTAAGGCTGCCTTGATGGGACTGTTGGTGGGGATGTGGATGCTGGAGATGATGAGGTGAGGATCTGGAGGGAGGTGAGGAACATCTCGCTGGTGCTGCAGGAAATCAGTGTAAAGTGGCTGTGACACTGTGCCGTTCTTGGGTATACAGCTTATGTGCAGAAATTACACCTGAGGAGATTTCTATGTAGCGTTGAAGGGGCGGGCTAGCTTTTTCTTGGTACTTAAAGTAAAATGCAAAAGGAGATACACCGAGGGGACCAGGGATTTAGCTCAGTGGCGCTGGTGCCTGTCTCACAAGTGCAAGGTCCTGAATTTGATCCCCGATACCAAAAAAAAAAAAAAAAAAAAAAAAAAAAAAAAAAAAGCCAAAAAAGAAGACCTCAAATTTGAACCCCAAAAAAAAAAAAAAA